CGCTTCCCTCCAAATGCCCCCAAGCCGCCAAGCTAGATATGCACAATCCACAGGTGGTCACGAGACCGTGTACATGCACAGGAAGCATGGTCTTTGGGAGAATTTTGGTGCACATTTAAGATGTAGAACGTTTCCAGGAAATGATGTTTCTCTGTGTTGTAATGAGCAGTAAACACTACTCCAATCGATTGAACTGGTTGCCCCACTCGCGCTTGGAGGCCCGGAGTGCGCATGTGTTGTGCCCAAGCCAGAGATAAATATTGTATAGAACGCCACCAACGCGCTACTTCTAACACAACTCACAGCATGCACGAAGAAAATATGACCATCAATCAAGCAGGCCGTAGGATAGGATGTAGACATAATATCTTATCGACTCCAACTCCAATGCTCGCACCAGTATTAATTCTGGGAACAGTTGGTCGTGCGCACGGCCAGACCCTGTGTCGCTTTTTTTTATCTGAAATCTAGTGTTGTCCAAAAAATCAAGTCGGAATCGAAGTCTGCACATGTGCTGTTCTCAAAGGGAGGCATGGAATTGTGTCACCTCTTCGGAAAAGTTTGCAATTTTTCCTCGTCTTGTCTCGCACATTCCCCCGTTGGACTCTTCTCGGCAAGTACGCAAACAGCGTCCACGACCTCGGGGTTGTCTACACAACATATGTGTGACCCTCATCTCGAAAGGCTTTTAAATGCAATAAATGGGCACCGGGGTAGAACAACTTGGCAGTCTGTGTTAAGTCTATTGCTGGCGTATCCGTCTCAGATTCGTTTGTGAACTGTCTGTTGAATACGTCAGGCGAATACACGACAGTAGAACCCAAGAAAACTTTGTCAACTTCCCACGCTCTACCTTCACCCATGCTTTCATGTCCCCCGTGTCCCCCATTGTTAATGCAGCACAATGCCTATCCTCGTCATCACGGACATCATGTGTCGTGTAGGTCCGATCGTCCACGACCGCTGCCAGACGGCGGCGCCGAACGAAGGAGTTCTTCCCCGGGTTGGCGAGCCTGACGGGCATGGCATGCGGAAGGTGGACATCCCAGCACTAGCGCCTCTGGGAAATTACTTTCTTGGCGCCGATCAGGTTTCGGAGCCCGTACCGCAGGAGAAATGCACTCAACGCAATGTGTACAATCTCCTGCGCGATGCGCAAACTTCTCCTCCGGTTCAACGGTTGGACTTCGGTCAGCTTCTCAGCGTTTCAGCATGGCAGGATAGAGAAGAAGGGACCACCGCCGTGGACTTCGTGCTGCTTGCTCGGGCCCGTTTGCGGAACCTGCGCCGCCGAAGCCACCACTCCATGGACCTCTTTGAGGTAGTGGCTGTTCTGAACGTGCGCCTCACCAAGCTCGTGGCTTTCATCAGCGAAGGACAAGACAAGGAGGTCCCGCCAGCAGTACTTGTCGAGGAAGAGCAGATGGCCCCGGGCTCGGTGCTGCCGACGTTATCGTCGCAGAGCGTGTTCTCCACACGCGTTCTCGCGGTGGCGACTGGGTCCACCACCGGCAAGGCTCCGGAAGTCCCTGCCTTCTCTCAGCATCTTTGCGAACCTGTGGCTGGCCAGAATGATCTTCGACCTGCGGCGCTCGATCACCTGGTTTTGGCCTACGCCCGGGTGAGTACGCCTTCTTTGCGTAGCTGACGTAGTGGGCTGTTGTGCTTTGTCCTTGGCGGTATTATCAATACTGGTGGTTGTTCGTTGCTCCGTTGGTCAAGTGGGTTTATTTTCGCGTTCCTCATTGAACATCGTTGTCCCTCCTTCTTTTTTTTCTTCCACCTTACGTTCCTTCCGTTTTCCTTCTCGGCGTCGCCGGTTGATTTTGATTTCTGCGCGCGGCAAAACCTACCTTGTTTCATGTTTTGTTATTCAATTCGGAGCAGTGAACATAGGTAGATCACTGCTGACATATTGACATATTACTCATGTGTTGCTGCAATTTGAAAAACAATGCTAGAGACGCTAGAGCGGGGAACAAGAACATCTTTTCTCGCATGCTGGTAAGGACATGCGCATGCTCTGTGCCCACCGCTAAAACTACCACACCTCTCCCATTCAGCGCATGCACTTCGTTGCATATTAAAAGGCTGTAGTGCTCGAAGCTCTTGAGTTGCTGCCATGTCAACAAGACTACCCAGCAATGTTTTTTTTTTCTGATGCTTGTACAGAGTTTCCTGTATAAATGCATTAAAGCAGCCCACTGCGGTAACCCAACTATTTAGACAACTTTTTCGACCACACGGTTTACTTTCCGTCCCCTTCTTCGGGACCTCTGACATCTGGATCAGGCCAAGGAGGAGTTCATCGCGATTGGACTTCAACCCGCCAACCAGTGCGCAAAGAAGAGGGCAGGTACGAGGACGTGGACACTTGCGTGTTAGGTGTTGAGGCTAGTCGTTTTTGTTGGTCCAATAATCTAAGGACTACCAATCTACCGGGCTGTGTACGTTTTTCCACAATGTGTCAATGTTGGTGCCGGTATCAGGCCGGTATGGTACATGTCGTTCGTTACCTCCAGGCCGGCTCAAAATGATCAAACCTTAGTCAAAACGTTTTCATGAGCCAACACATGGCATGCCGTTTTTTTGTACGTCATCTCTGTTCGTCCTCACAGAACTGGCTGTGCGCTCAGGAGCATGCTTCGGGTCGGCGGTGCAGCGTACGAAAGCCCTTCAGATTCAGGTGGCTCAACATCAACCGGGGAAAAGCGCTGACACCAATGGCATCGTGGAAGAGTATGGCCTTCCGTTCGACATCCAACCGCTGCAGGAGGACCCCACGGCGACAGTGTGCAGAACGCACGCCTTGGGGAGCAATGCCGGGCCTTACTACGGGCCTGACGCCCTGCACGACTGCAACCACGGGGATGACTGCCGCCAAAAGTACGGTGGGATAGACTCATGCGCCCAGCTCTCGGGGGTCAACCTCAACGCGCACGAGCAGAACCATGCGAAGAAGAAAAAGTTTCTGCACATGTTGAATGTCATGAAATTTGACCGCTTTGCGTTCATGGTAACTCTGATCAACGAGACCGAGAATGAGGCAATAAACCGCAAATCGGTGGCAAACATGGTCAAGCGTGTTCGAGGCCATGGCTCGGAACGAGTAGAGATTTGCCAGGCTCAGGTTTGGTTCTGCGGCAGATGCTTCTGCCAGAAGTCTCTAATGCGATCATTCGACCAGTTCGGCCGGGTCCGGCTGACCTTTGTTAAGCCATAGCCATACTTTTGGGGGGGCTCGGATGTTGTTGTACAATGTCTCGGATGCTTTGTGGTACGGTGTCCGCTTGAGCTGAACCGCTTGCGCCATTACGTCATTTCGCCCGGTTCGCAGTGGTGGGTAGAGTTCATTTTTTTTGTAGTCTTTCGGTTGATGGTGTGTCGAGGCTGGTGGTAGGAATATACAGCTCCGCGTTTTGGGGGATAGATACGTTTGGTTTTTCTTGAGGGGAATTCATTGGTTTCGCTACACGATAGGGTTGCTTCAAGAACTATTTCCGAGCCCACCGACGTTTCCGTTTGTCAGCCTTTCACAGCACTTCCAGTACTATCGACTGCTCGCTGTTTTTTGTGTTTCCAAGAGCGCGATGTATCTTTTGCCTTCGAGCCTTGGCTTGAAAGATGCGTATCCAAGGACAACCAGACCTGTTCCCAAATGTGAAAGTAACGAATTGTCGAAGAACCGTTTTTGATCCTATATCGAAAACAAGGCAGACCTACCTACCATTGGGTTCGGCTCATTGCGTTCCATCCGGATGAGGGTAGAAATTATTTTAGTGTTCTGTCCAAGAAAGTTGTCTAGGTGCCCACTTGCCCACTTGGCAATAATTTTTAGGTTGCGTTTTGGCATTCAATACCATTTCGTCCTGGACTTGTGGTACGTACATGCCGTTTCGAGATACCGTAATGGTCGGAGAGATGGCACCGGGTGCGATCGTTTTTT